CCACGTTTGATGCAACACAAGATTATGGAGTTGGGTTGGGAAGGTATCCCCCACCCACCATATTCTCCAGATATGGCACCATCAGATTACCATCTGTTTCATTTGCTGCAACACCATCTTGATGGGAAAACATATGCAAATGTAGAAGGTGTTAAAGAGGATATCGACATGTTTTTTGCTTCAAAGCCAAGCGATTTCTTCAAACAGGGCATTTACAATCTGATTGTAAGATGGAAAACCAGCATTGATAAGAATGGAGACTGTTTCATTTAATAAATGTTTTGTTTTAATATGTAAGTTGTTCGGGTTTTATCATCTAAAAAAAAAGCGACATTAATTTCTTGACGACTCGTTTCCAGAATTTTATTCATAACAAGTATAACTACTGGTATACCACCAAACAATTATTATGAATTTTTCTATTTGTTTTTGTTATAATTTTCTAAATACCATGAAGCAGCTTGAACCATTAACATGCTATTTTATTCCCTATATGTATATATATTTCTTTTCAACTTTTTTATCCTTATATAATTTATTTCAAATGGTATAAAATTTGTAAATGTGGTAAGAATGAAGCTTGTAAATGAACATTATTTATTTCTTATAAATATTAAGTGTTGATTTGAGTCAACTGGAATGGATGGTAACTGACTATTGTAAAAAAACAAAAGTGTAGAGAACAAGGTTCTGAAAGTTTTCCTTTACGCTTGTGTTTTTTACAACAGGCAGTTGCTGTCCATTCCAATTTACTCATCATGAATACTCTGCCTCAACAATCTATCAAAGTGTTAGTTTGTTTATTGTGTTTGAACGATCACTTATGGAGTTTCAGTCAACGTGTTTTCAGATTATAGACAAAACTAATGATGTTTGTTAAAACACTTGTAAAGAACTTTTGATGTATGAGAATAAACTAAACAAAAGGTCAAAGCAAAAGCATTTAGCATTGTGAACCAGTAATTTTTGTCAAGCACATTAATGCCATTTTTATTATTTTGAAATTTGCTAATCTATGGACCAGTAAATATAATTTTATCTAAAACATAATATTTGTCTTTCCCTTAGCAAAAAGAAGATACATCAGTTAAGAATATTTTAGCCTTGAATGAAATAAAATCAGAAGTAGTATCACTGAAAGCATTGTTGTTAAGCAGGTAATAAAGATTATTTCATACGATGTGTTAGTTTTATAAGTTTACTAAAACAGTTTTATCAAGAACTGGAAAAACTTAACATCACAAAAAAAAATGATTTGCCAAAGAACATATTGGAGAGGGGAATTTTCCTTCAGATGATTATAGACTGATATATTGTTCAGAATTAACAAAATATGTTTTCTAATGAAGTTGTTTGTTTTGTAAGTTTTTTTTTCCCCCCAGTTCTTGACCTTCATATGAATTTTTCATCAATTTAATTCTACTGCTGGTATTTATTACTCATACTCGTTAGAAATACTCTTGTCTGACATTTCTAGTAATTATTCCTATGATGTAGATCTGGTCAAAGTGTGCATGTCATGATCTTATACTGAGTTTCATCCAAAATAGAAACTGTTATCTGTTTTTTAATAAACTTAGCATGAAAACTATTTTATAATTAAAATTTTTAGGTTATCTGAGTTTTAATTTCTTAACTCTAAAAAGATGTGTTTAAATTTTCATTCATTACATCTCTTTACCTGCTTTCAATTCTCCTTTTTTTTTTTAGTTATTTTGTATTCCTTTTCATAGGTTTCAGGGTGTCCAACCAATTCCTTTTTTTTTAGTTATTTTGTATTCCTTTTCATAGGTTTCAGGGTGTCCAACCAATTCCTTTTTTTTAGTTATTTTGTATTCCTTTTCATAGGTTTCAGGGTGTCCAACCAATTCCTTTTTTTTAGTTATTTTGTATTCCCTTTCATAGGTTTCAGGGTGTCCAACCAATTCCTTTTTTTTAGTTATTTTGTATTCCTTTTCATAGGTTTCGGGGTGTCCAACCAATTAGAAACATAAACTTTAGGTATTGAAAGGCCAGAATATAAAATTAAAACCTTCCACCTTCTTGATTTTCTGAGATATCAATAATTTATGACACTCACCTTAGAAGCTCCTCCCATCGTTTCATGTATTTGAAGTCATTTATTTACTCATGCTGACTTGTCATGAAACCTTGCCAAATTATGTGACGATACATGTAGTAAATTCAGAAGTATAGCTTCAGAAGTACTAGGTTGATCCGGTGGACCATGGCATGCACATAGGATTAAACAGATTAAACTTTTTTGCAGTATTTTGATTAAAAAGTTAGGAATATTTATACGAAGAATAACTGTCATATTGTAAATTCTTTGAAATTGTTATATTTCTTTTACTGATTTTGATGTTCTATTTGTACACAGGTCAAAATTAGTAATATCAGGTTTTATATTTTGACTTACAGGGGTCAGTTTCCCACAGCTCCTGTTACAAAACCTGGCATTCCTTCATGGCAGTTGGACAGGACAAAAACTGATGAAATTAACAAAGAAGCTGCTCTGAATGGACCTCCAAAAAGTGATAAAGAACAAGAGTCTTCCATAGAAACAATTAATGGTGGTATAGTTGAGGTATGTGACATCTGAAGTAATTGGTGGTGGTGTAGTTGAGGGATGTAATAACTGAAGTAATTGGTGGTGGTGTAGTTGAGATATGTGATAACTGAAGTAATTGGTGGTGGTGTAGTTGAGTTATGTGATAACTGAAGTAATTGGTGGTGGTGTAGTTGAGGTATGTGATAACTGAAGTAATTGGTGGTGGTGTAGTTGAGGTATGTGACAACTGAAGTAATTGGTGGTGGTGTAGTTGAGGTATGTGACAACTGAAGTAATTGGTGGTGGTGTAGTTGAGGTACGTGACAACTGAAGTAATTTGATGTTTGAATAATGCTCCAGTGAGCAAAAAAGTTGTATTAATTCTGTATTCTGATGTTGGTGAAATGCACTGCAATTTCAGCAATGAGGCATCATGAGAGTGAAAGTAAATCTTACTATTCAGTTGAACTGTTTAAAAAAACCAGACAAAGTCTTTTGGGTAATGCTCTATTTCTGTTCAGTAGTCCAAAATTGGGATTGGCTATACCTGAAACCTTGACGTCTCTAACTTGGCAGTGTTTAGTTTAGTCTATGTATCCATAAGGTGCTGTTTTGGTTGACAGTGCAGGTTTCTCTTATATTCTGTATTGTGATTAAAGATTAATTTCCTAAAAAAAAAATTTTCAGAGACACCATAATCCCTACCTCATAAAGCCATAAATTCACAAAAGCAGAAAAACACACGTTAAACTTAAAGTTTGTTGTTGTGGTGGTATTAAGCTCACTGGTACAGTCTGAAAGATAAGTTCTGAAGATGATTGAAATTTATCCAATTTTAGCTTATTATAGTTAACAGCAGCGTATATACTACCTATTGATAAAAGTATTTCTTTTACCACATGTGTTCAGTAGGCATGCATTTAGAATATGTATATATATACACATTTGTTTTGTTAAAATTTTCTTTGTCTTTGCAAGAAATTTGAATAGTTTTTTTCAAGCATTTTTATTTGTCATGTCATAAGAACTGTGATATGCTAGCTTCACTTTAATCTAGTTTCTAAACCTAAACAGATCTTAACTTCCAGAATACTATCTGTTATCTAAGTTTTAATGTATTTTTTCATTCATCAGAATGTGAGAAGTGTAGAGGGTGCAGATTGTTTATCAGGCTCAGTTAGCAATGACAACAGTGGAGACTGTTAATGAGGAGAACAAAACATCTTAAAAGGACAAATGAGATTTCACTGGTATACAACATTATTTCTTGTGTAAGTCCTTTACGTGCATCTTAATGATGATACCATGACTTTACGATACATAACTTTCTGCTCGCACATTATATGGGTCAAGAATGCTAGATAAATTTTTAAGTGATTAATACGAAAATATACTTGCAATCTTTACTGTATCTGGAACTGTTTGTAAACCTTCCCCCCCCCCTTTTTTTCTGATATAATTATATTTAGTGTCTTCCCTAAATTAAAAAAGTTGTTCTAATGTTGCTTTTTTTAAACAGATGAATTCTTTTAAACTGGTATAAGTATTTTTTTATTACATTCAGTACAAAGACTACTTTTCTGGCTTGATTTGGTATTTTAAAAATACAGATTATAAAAGTGTTTTCATAGTCCAATTAATACCTTTGGGTTTTAACTAATTAAGAAAAAACATTATTTTTTATTTAATGAAATATCCTGAAACTTGTATTTGATGAAACTAGGAGGATATGTTTACACATAAAACAGTTTTTGCTTGAATGGGATTAAAAACACTCCCTTTCGTAAAAGTTTTAAACAGTAATACGACTATTTTGATTCATTAATCTAATATTAAAATCATGTAGGCTTAGAATTTCTTTGAATGCAATTAAAGATTATATGACTGGTTAATGTTTGTATATTTTATAAAAAACATATAGTTTGTAAATAAATGTTAGCATTTGTAATTTTGTGTGTCTTTGAATCAATAAGAGATAAAAATGCACAAAAAAACATGCATTTCACAAAGAAAAAAAATAAGCATCTTATAGTGTTTAATTATTTACTACCAGATGTTTTTTTTTCATTGTTGTTGGCAGGAAGTTTCAGGGAAAATATTGCCCTGGTTGGACCTTCAATTACTGTTGAATGCATCTTTCATATTCAATGAATTTCATCATCTGTTTTATTGAATATTTTGTGGACACTATATTATTTGTTCTACATTTTTTCTAAAAATGGTATGCCACAAATATTGAGTCTGTTCAAATAACTTCTGAAATATTGTGGTCAACAGCATTATACGAACTACCTATTTGTAAGTGATTAATAAGAAAATGTACTTGAAATCTTTACTGTAGCTGGAACTGTTTGTAACTCCCCCTACTATACTAATATATATGTGAGAAGAATATAACATGCTTAAACTTTGAACTAAAAGGGAATTTTGACTTGGGTTTATTCAGTGATGTCTTTCTTTAAAATACTACTACTTATTAAGAAAAGCTTGATATGTTTAATTATTATTATTAAATATAAAAATCCAACTTTTCGTCTAAAAAGAAAATTAAGCTTTTAGGAGAATTGGTTGATAAAGTTGACCTTTTTATATAAGCTTAAAGGAATATCACAGAAAAATTGAAAGACTAAGGTTTAAGAAATTTAGTCATGGAAAGTATTTTTTTGTCCTTTAGAGGGAAAAGTATTATTGTAAAAATATTCCATCTAACCTGTAATAAAAAATAGCCTTATAAATGTAGATTTATGACTCTTGTAAAAAAACAACTTATGTTTTTTAAATTAACTATTATATTAGAAAAGCACACTTAGTCAGCATATATAATTTATTAACCTGTTTATTGAACATAAACACGTACAGATTAAATCCTTTACAGAAACTTCTGTGTTTGAACTTAAGCATATGTGCTTCTCCGAGCAGTGCAACCTATATAAATAAAATTCGTTTTTCTTATCATAGTATAGAAATTCTGTTTGAGGTATTACCATTTATTTTAAATAAATGACTTTTCGTAAAGAAAGGGGTTTTTAAGGTAAAAAAAACATTATGAAAGTACATTTGTTTTAGTTTCAGAATACTTACAGCAAAAAACAACAACAGATAACGAGTCTTAAGAAATAGCCATCATTTCTCTTCCCTAAACAAAGAAAATAAAACATTTTACTGAGAGAAAAATAGCTAGTAACTAGTTGATTTTTTTTTTTTTACTTTTGGAGGATCTGCTGGTGAAATGAAAGAAGGAAGGTGTTTTAACAGATTAGTGTAAGTCACTGAGGACTACATGTATATAGTGATTCTTGACCTTCTGTAAACCAAATGTACAATTTATTAAATAAATAACAACACTATTAAAAACAACTGGTTATTAAAAAAAATCACCATCAAGAGCTATATTTCTCAATATTTTATGCTTCCTAAATACCTATATATTCGTACATATAAAGAGATGTACAGAGACAAGGAAAGAGTATTTTCCTTGGATAATACGTTAAAAATGCTTGCACTCGCGTAGTTAGTATATTTTAATGATTTACTTAAATATATACAAAATTTGAAGAGTGAACCTATTTCATATTGTAAGTCAGTCTTCAGCAATCTTTAAAGCTTCACAACTCTTGATTATTTAGATGAGGTGAAGCTCTTTAAAGCTTCACAACTCTTGATTATGTGGATGAGATTAAACTTGGAGAATGCTGATGTGGTATTTCTAAGTCATGAATCTGCTTCAGTCTTTGAATATTAGTGTGTGTATATCTATCTATGTTAACCATTTCCTGAATTGAGCTCATTAATGCCATGTTGAAACATTTGCAATTTTTTTAAACTTGGAAAGTTCAGACCAGTTAACAACTGAGTTTGATAAACTTTTTTGAAAAGGTGTGTGTATGAACTAAGCCTTTTTCAGCTAGAAATTTTTAGTAGTAAATCAACTTTCAAGCATCATTTGTCACAAATAGACAAGCTGGTAGCTTCCTCATTAGTAGAGATACCACCAGAATAAGTCATAAATCTCCATTTTGGGCACATTATGTAATCTCAAAAATGTCAGCAGCATAATAGTAGCAGCAAACAATTTTATAACTTGTCACTATTTTATCTAATAAAATAAATTTTACATTAATATCATGATAGTGCATCTGTGTTTGCTGAATAAATAAGAAATGTATCTGTGTATTTAATATCTACAAGAACTTGCATTTTAAGGTAATTTTTTACTCTCTCATAATTGTTCACTTAATTCTAGTATGTAATTACGTTTGTAATTTTATATATATGCACACTTATATAACAGAAATGAAAGAGATTAGTATTGTTTGTTTTTTACAAAGTATTTAGGAGTGTTAAAGTCCTTATGAAATATCCAAGCTTGGACTGATCAGCATATTAGTTATAAAGATTGCTGAACTAATTTTAAAGAAAATGGTACTTAAATTTAAGGTATACAACATTACCAGGCAGATGTATACTGGTTCTGATTTTCTTATACGTGTGTGTGTGTGTGTATAGTGTATATCTTATACGGTATAATGTAGTTTTATTCCTGTTTCACATCTTTAGATTTATTAAATAAACACTCGCTCAAGATACACGGGAACAAGAAAGGTGTAAATGATAACAACACTAGAAAAGTGTAGAAGGCATTCTAGCAACGGACTGTTGTATTAAGGATATATACAGAGAGTGGAAAGCTCAGCACAATAAAGTTTTTTTTTCTTCAGTTTACTATTCCAAAGTAAACTAAAACCATGTATCTCACAACCTATGTAAGCACTGAAACACTTACTGGACAACCTGTGTAAGCACATAAAACTAAACAGCACGAGAAAGATGAGAATACTACCGAAGAACTTAATGTCACTTTTAACATTTTGTTACTTTCAGATCTGTATCTAAATGCCTTTTATTTCAAGCAAAACTGTATATGACAGCCTGTGATCCTATTCTATTTTAATTTGAAAATTTTTTCCCTACCTCTCATAAATTTCCCACTGTTAGTAGTGCTTTTTTTTCTTCTTTAAGTGTACAGCACAACGTTATTAACAGTTAAACAGAACATTAACTAAGATTATTTTAGTTAATTGGTTTATAATTATATGCGATATATTCAATTTATGAAAATTAATTCACTTGCATTAGAATTCCTTTTTCTGTGTCTTATGACAACTGCATCTTCCAATGATAATTTATTCACACCTACAAGTCAACCTTCACCATCATACTATGTAATAATGCTCCATTACTATTACTCCCAGGTATATGTAAGCAACCACGAAGTATCATATAAACATCTAATAATTTCCTTCTCTTCTCAAAATTTTGTGCACAGTGAAGCTCTGGTACTGTAACTATGTTGTTGTTTTAAGAATCTTGGAATTTATCATATTTTGACTCTCAAATCACATTATTTTCATTTTTATACACACTGAAAAACCAGAGGTCAATATCTACTTGACATAGAACAAAGTTCATCCTATTCCACAGACTTTTATATATGCAAGTAAAACTAGGGATCAATATCTACCCGATATACTGTGTTTGTAATTAAGTACAAAGCTACACAATGGGCTATCTATGCTCTGCTCACTATGGGAACAGAACCCGGTTTCTAGTGTTGCAAGTCCGCAGAGATGCTGCTATGCCACTGGGGGGCACCTGACAGAGAACAAAGTTCATCTTATTCCATACTTTTTGTATGCAAGTAAAACCAGGGATCAATATCTACCTGACAGAGAACAAAGTTCATCTTATTCCATACATTTTGTATGTAAGTAAAACCAGGGATCAATATGTACCTGACAGAGAACAAAGTTCATCTTATTCCATACTTTTTGTATGCAAGTAAAACCAGGAATCAATATCTACCTGACAGAGAACAAAGTTCATCCTATTCCATACTTTTTGTATGCAAGTAAAACCAGGAATCAATATCTACCTGACAGAGAACAAAGTTCATCCTATTCCATACTTTTTGTATGCAAGTAAAACCAGGGATCAGTATCTACCTGACAGAGAACAAAGTTCATCCTATTCCATACTTTTTGTATGCAAGTAAAACCAGGGATCAATATCTACCTGACAGAGAACAAAGTTCATCCTATTCCATACTTTTTGTATGCAAGTAAAACCAGGGATCAATATCTACCTGACAGAGAACAAAGTTCATCTTATTCCATACTTTTTGTATGCAAGTTAAACCAGGAATCAATATCTACCTGACAGAGAAC